GCCCTCAAATATAACAATTACTGCTCTCCACTTCAGTCTGACCAATTTTTACATATTTTATTATGACTCCAAATCCTAACTTATATAATCACGACAAAATGGACATCAAATTACAATTACAAGCAGCAACTTGTAATAGTCAGACATCCTTTAAGATTACAGGCAGAATTTCCCGCGTGCTGCAAAATAAATAATGTGTTGACAGCTGCATGGCCGGCCGGCCAGCTGGGTGACAAAGGATATTCAAGGTATTATTGGATGCCAATTTCCTACAGGCTCCAAAATTATAAATTTCATTTTGAATTGATACATTCACACCACAATTCATTCTGCTATAATTTTCAAGAACTATTTTGTTGTCCTACATTTGTTGAACAAAAAATTGTCCTACTCGCGCAAGTAGTGTTTCTCTAATAGGCAGTACGTATGTTCAAACATTTCAAGTTTTTACAAGGTTATTTATCAATAATTATTTAATGTCGGCTTGAAAGTGTTCAGCATAAATGTCTCAACAGCACGTTAAAACTTTCATAAACTTTCAGCAAGAGTACAGCTAAACACACTGGTCACTCCCCCTCCAAGTGTAGCAAAATTCGGCCATGCATACATTTACACCTCACCGATAGCGCTAACAACTTTACAGTAGAGGATTATTTACACGATGCGTCCTAGACGTACACCGTGTATGACAATGCAAACGCAATGTCGAAAGAAATTAGAACATCCGTCCTGTGCATCCGATATCGCAAGGGTCATACATTTGCATTGTCATACACGGTGCGTTTTGGACGTACGTCTAAGGACGCATCCACCACGCACATTCTCAACTTCAAATAGAAGCCATTTTATCCATCGTTTTACCACAAATCCATAATGACTTATTTTAGGGAAATCCAGCTAAATTTACATTGATTATTTACGCTAGAATGTTTTCGAGCTATATCCATGCGTGACTGCCCTTAAACGTTGAAATGTACTTAAGTAACAGCAAGTCGCACTGTCCTCTCTGCTCTCAGTTAAATATCTTGCCTGTATTGACCGTGTCGGCTTTGCTAAGCTTCCCGCGGCTCACGCAAGCCTGCGCAGCTTCTATCACACGCCGAGCACGGAAACATTGAGATGACGTCTGCCGTCACCAGGGCAACTGCATTCTCGTTAGCTGGAATGGTTTTTTGTGTGTGTAAACAGCTCGTACAACCGAGCCTCCACAGAAACCACCGGATGTTCCAACCAACCAACCAATGCTCATTTGAGTGGTGGATAAACTGCATATGGAACATGGAACCTATATGGAACCCGTTCGCAACTATATATTCTCCTATAGAATAGCAGTCAACACACACACACACACACACACGCACGCACGCACGCACGCACGCACGCACGCACGCACGCACGCACGCACGCACGCACGCACGCACGCACGCACGCACACACACACACACACACACTATATATATATCCCGATATAGCTTATATTGACAAGAATTACATATAGCTCTTTTATATTAAAGATAATAAATTAGATAGTCTACTCATATTAAATGTATGAAGCAGTTGCATATATCCGATTCTTTGCGTGTGGGTGTTTACTTACGCATGCGTCTTGGCATTTCTCTGAGCGTGTGGCAGCATGCGTGGGCGTGTGTGTGCCTCGGCTCCTATATGTATGTGCACGGGGGATTTAATGTGCGTGGCTATGCTCCCACTAGTAATTACATCGCAGGCCGTTGCAAGCCGGCCATCTATGTTGCATCACATATCACAGCAATCCACCGTCCTAACTTATCCGCGGTGCTTGGACAGTATTAAACCACCGCGTCGTGCAGAATATTAAAGTAACCTCACGCCGACGCTTTTGAGAAACGAGCATGTTTTTCTAAAGCCCGCCGCACACGCTGTGGAACTTGCTGCGCCATCGTCCACACGTGGCCACACGTGGACGATGGCGCAGCAAGTTCCACAGCGTGTGCGGCGGGCTTAAGATCAGGGGGTAGAAAGCAGTGTTTGTTTGACTGTTTGTTTGTGTGTGTGTGTGTGTGTGTGTGTGTGTGTGGTGTGTGTGTGTGTGTGTGTGTGTGTGTGTGTGTGTGTGGTGTGTGTGTGTGTGTGTGTGTGTGTGTGTGTGTGTGTGTGTGTGTGTGTGCGAGTGTCTATGTGCGTGGGTGTGTGCGTGGGTGTGTGTGTGCGTGGGTGTGTGCGTGCGTGCGTGTGTGTGTGTGTGTCTGTCTGTCTGTCTGTCTGTCTGTCTGTCTGTCTGTCTGTCTGTCTGTGCGTTCGTGCGTGCGTGCGTGGGAGCGAGCGTGCGAGCGTACGTACGTGCGTGCGTGCGAGCGCACGTATGCACAGATCTTAGGTCTTACCAGCAGCAATTATTCGCACATAAGTGGTTTGTTTGTTTGCGTGGCATTGAGTTAATAGAGTTAATGCGCGCTGTCATACTGACATCTGTCTCCGTGCACCTACACGGTGTATTGCCCGTCCGCAACGGCCGTCGCTTACATAGAATTACGGTTACGCTTATCCCAGCTTAACCTAGTGCAGTTGCGTCAGTGAAGGACTAGTAAAATACGCTACATTTTTGCAAATTTTCCAGGGCTCGGTAAAGGCTTAGCATGACTTAGCCGCTGCCTTGCGCAGTTTCTACACAACAATAACTCGGTGTTCACGATTCGGTTCTTTTCGCAATATTATTTACAGTGTGAGCAAATTAACTGTTAAGTAAGTTATAAATATGCAATAAAAATATATAAAACTGAGATGGATTAAGGATACATTCAGGGTTGGTAGGTGATTTTCCGTCGAAAATTCAATACCCATTTTATTTGATAGATGGCGCCCATGGGCAGCTATGTATACATAGATATTATCAGGAGTGAATAATAATAGATTAACTATAATAATTAACTAATTAACTATTATTATTCACTCCTGATATTATGTATGTAGCCTCCCAAACAGTTGAAAATCCCCACATACGCCTATTCTAAACACAGCCGTTCAATCACTGTGAAATGTAGAAAAGTGCCAATATCTCCGTTGTTAGAAAGGCTGAAGTTGCTGATTTTTCAAAAGCTATTTCTCGAAACTCACAATCCCGATTCAAATAATTTTTGTTCCGATTTAATGCTAACATATTTAAGGAAAAAACATGCTCTGGAATTTTTATGAAATATTATATTTTAGAAATTATGGCTCTTTAGTTACAAAATTGTTGTGTTTTGAAAATCATTACAAATTTCTGTGCATCTTTTCAACTTATTTCCTAAATTAAAGCATTAAAAAAAATTCCAGGCACTGTTTTGTAGTTCATACTATGAACAACTTATGGCTAAAAGTTTAGGTCCCAACTTCTTTTTACAATTTTTACCGTCACGTAATTAGCGATGAAATTTTTTTGATTATTTTCATCGAGAGCGTAGAGAGACATCTCTTTTATGAAATAGATATGAGTTTGATTGAATTTGATGAGCAGTTATGTTGCAATGCCCTTTACAGAGGTACCTGTCCATAACCCTGACTGTATCCTTAAGACAAATATTCACTCTGCAGTTTTTACTTCCTGAACCAAGTCAGATCCGCTAACTAATCATCGAGCTAAAAGCACACATTGCTGCGTGACTCAACTTTCATAATTAATGCGAAGCCATTTAAAAACCTTAATAATTTTAACGTGTTTTTTTAATTTGACCCAAGCAGATCAAACGAAATAATTATTTTAACACAATTAAGTGTTCTGCATTAAGTAGACTTCAACATATTTAGCATGATGCGTTAGCTTTCACACATTATATGCATAACCATGATATTACCATAGTCCTGATTTGACTTCCCCGCAGTGTGCTACCGGAACAACATGTAATTAACACCCACATCACGAGACAAGTATAAGACATTAACAAGCTGGCATCACGTGCATATGCCACCATAATAAACGATTCCCAGAACACACCATCAACTCGTACCGTGTTGCGCTAGTTACCCACTCAAACCTGTGTTATAATATGATAGGTCACGTATTATCTCATTAAAGCGCACCTGAATTAGCGAGAAGACGATATCCAGCGGCAGATACTACCTGCTCAGATTACTAGCCGCATAGGGGTTTTGATGTTCGCCACAAGCAGCGTTCTTCCTGCCCCCGCGCAAACACATCAAAGGCCCGCGTACGGTGCAGGTGGAGGATCATTATAACTCTCGTTATTGCACAGCCCTCACAACAACGAGAGAAGGTCAATCACTCCGCATGCACCCCCCCCCCTCGTCTAACGATAGCCCACTAACAAGCCACTAGTACGTCGTCCATCTAAACAACTCTCCAAATGTTGCGTCTCTCTCAGTGTTCGCGTAAATTAATTTTATTAGCTCGAGGTGGTCGTGGGAATAATTGTAATACACACATGGTCTTGCACTACGTGACCATTTCCTGAAGCTACAATTCCACGTGCCCCTCTATCCATTTCTGTGCCCAAATTTGTATCACCACCGATATTGATGATACTGTTTATTTTACATACATGAGATATATTTTTTACACATGTTTTTTTTTTTAGATATAGGTAACATTTAACATCTTATAATGATTCACACATGTCAATTACTCCACCGACCCCACGTTCCCTTTTCACGTTTTAGAGTTGAGGCAGGAGGTCCATTTTTATGCTGATTACAAACATCCAACAAATGGCCTTTCTAAACTCCTTGTTGTCCTTCTAACTGCTTCAAGAAAATGCTAAACAAGCTTAACTCATAACAGATTTCCTCGTAACAGATGCTATCCTATCCTAACTCGATGGCCAAGCAGTATTACTCCGCAAAACGGCATTTATATTGAATCAGTGAAGACTAGTCATTCTTCATCGAGTATTTCTTGGTATAACAAACGTTTTCATCATAACTTGCTGACCACCATCTTGACAATGCACCCCCCCAATTAACACTATCCAATAGATGGTGATGAATGGTAGATAATGTGTAATGGGGGGGGGTTGAATACTTACTTGCAGCTTCTCCAATCTGAGTAGCATTCAGATGCCTACGGTTGTCCTTCACCATGAATGTCACCTCTGTGCCCGCCGTCCTAAAAACACAATTTCAGAACAGTGTAGATATTGGACTTATAACAGGTATGAATATCTAGCTATCTATCTACCCTGATCTGCCTGCCTACTGGCCTGCCTGCTTACCCGCTTGCTTGCCTCACACACACGTGCACACCCACGCACGCACAAGCATACGCGTGCACACACGCACGCACAAGCATACGCGTGCACACACGCACGCACACACACATGCACACGCACATACAAACACACACACATACAAAGCACCATGGCAAATACTGCCAGTAGGGCTGATAGGGTCTATGTCCCCCAGGGTACTGCCGGAACGTACCCTAGGTACGGTCCGGTATACCGGAACGTGCCCTGGTACTAAATACTACTATCTAATATGCCGGAGCGTACCTCGCCTACTCCACTAACGAGTCTAGAGAGTCGCCTATGCCTACTCCCTAACTCTAACTCTGACTCTAACCCTAACCCTAACCATATCACTATCAGCTAGATAGTTACCAGGGTACGTTCCGGTATACCGGACCGTACCCAGGGTACGTTCCGGCAGTACCCTGGGGGACATAGTCCCTATGAGCGCCAGTGGGCATGTTTAACAATGACATCTACTATACCATAGACGTTGATACAAAAAATGATTGTGTTATACAAGAAATATAAAAGTTAGGTGCTGTTCTCAAATATGTTATAATCTTACTAATTAAAAGCTAAAATATTAACTAGAGTACCTTAATTACAACAGTACAAATAATTGGCTCTATATCTTGCTGTCAATAAAGGTTGTTCAATTATTTTCAATTTTGACATTGAAGTGGCCCCGTGTATAAATGAATTATTTTGCAATAAGTAACCAGTTTATTTGAACAGAATCGTAGCAGACGTTGCATGAGGAAAAAGTTTCATTCATGCAAGTTTTAGACGAAGCCGTAAATGAAGTATCAATGTTAAAAAATAAAATGCACAGGTTTCTGTATATAAAAATACAATGATAAAGTTCAAACCTAAACAACTTATTCTACTTGTAATAACCATGCAATGCTAAATAACATGGTAAATTTTCAGTTGACCACTAACCGTCACCATAGCAGCTGGTAATGTGCTGCCACCTTGTGGCAAAATCATCTCAGCAATAATCGAACAATGTAATCGGACACAGAAAGGAAACTCGCACACAGCAAGCACATCCACAGCCACCCAGGCACATGGCCTCCCAGACCGACGCACGCACGCACGCACGCACCCACGCACGCACGCACAGACGCAAAACATGTACCAAACAACCAACAGCAAGGCACGTGTTGTTGTTACCTAATGTCAGTGAACGTGTCCGGTGACAATCCTAAGAGGCTTGCCAGCTTATCAAGCATCTCACGTGCAGTCTCTTTATCCAATCTAAAATAGGTATAAAGGTAATATATATATATATATATATATATATGTATACAGGCCCGTAGCCAGCTTTATATTGGGGTGGGGTTCGTTTTTAAATGATGGCAATTTATGAGGGCGCGAAGCGACCGACCAGGGGGAGGGTGTGGGAGGGGGGTGTCCGCCCTCCCACACGATGAAGATTTTGCAATTATTACACTAAAATGGAGCAATCTGGTGCATACCTGAGGTGAAATTCTTGCAAATTTTCAAATGGAATTTCCAAACAAATTTTTTTTTTGCTCGGGGGGGGGGGGTTCGTGCGAACCTCCCGAACCCCCCCTGGCTACAGGCCTGTGTATAGGTATAAAGTATTTACTACACCTGAGTGGCATTCTACCACGCTATGTCACGACAGATACACGGCCAGACCATCACCATTCTAGTCTGCACTTTGAGAGAACACTTTAAATCGACCACATCAAGACTGCAGAAACGACAATTGGCAACATGGACAAATATAGAACACATTACATGCACGATCGATTTCCCACCCATCCCCCCCCCGAAAATATGAACGTTATTGCACTTTTATTCCGTTCAAAAACGCGGGTCCATGATTACTTCTGCTTGGAGCGTATGTAGGCATATCTGGTGTCAACGACATCAATGTCACCATCGCCATCCATGTCACCAGCCTGCTCGCCACCCACAGACTTCGTCTCCACCGCGATGGCCTTGTCATCTCCTTCAGCATGGGAACCTGGTGGAAGACGACAGAAGCAGAGTGAGAAGACGAAATAAAAGAGCTGCAGGGAAATCTCATTAGAATTTATCTATGCACTCGCATTGGCATTAACATTTCATGTGAAAATTTATATAAAAAAAAGACGATGACACTGGACGATGCACTGAAGGCGATAACTGAATTACTGATCGTTTGAGTAGAAATTACCTATTTAGTATAATTAATGCATTAATTATCTTCATTAGGCAACATAATCAAGTTTAACCAGTCGTGATGATTGCTTCAATATTAGTTGATAATATGCAGGTTTTAATAAACTGATCAGCACATTGCCTGTAGTAAATTTCATCAGTTTGATATTACATCAAAATTTAATAACTATGCTTCCCTGCAGCAATTGTGTAACCAATTTATGAAACAGAAGATGATTTGCAATAATTCTAATGAAATTAACTTGCGAAAAATTCACAACTCATAGTCTTATACCCTACCACATGACTGTAAAATCCGGTTACTTGCTAGGGGCTGTAAATATCTCATTTTCTAACACTAAAATTCTTTCGCATTAAAAGAAGCCACTGAAGGCATAACCAGTAGTCTAAATTAAGACCAGGGGGAAAGAAGTTCACAAACAAACACGGTCTGCAGTCAGTGTAATGGGAAAACAGTTACTTGGGTTTAAAAGGGAAATTTTCGTTATTGCCTTTTTCCCAAACACATCTCTTATGCCCTAAGTTGTGTTATATATATATATATATATATATATATATATATATATATATATATATATATATATATATATATATATATATATATATGTATGGAATGTGTATGTCATAGAGGATATGTGATCATGATAGCCAACAAAAACCGTACAATAAAATTGATTAGCGACAAAACAAAATTTGCATAGAAGTTCAAGTCAAACTTCAGGTGAATGTTTAGAACAAGTAACAATAATTTTTTATTTCAATTCTATTAAAGCAACTCTAATATTATTAACACCTCACATCTCTTGCGGCCCGATATAATCTTTACAACCAATTCTTTCACTACTTCACCATAGTATACCTTGACAAATTTTACCTTAGCAGAAAGCATGGGTGTGCCAAGACAACCAGACTGCCCAAGCTCCTCAAGTCACGATTCATGAAAATAACTGCTTTCTGATACCCTTTCCTCCCATTTGGAATTGCCAAGTTATAAAATAACTCTATTAAATAAATGGACTGCCTGCCTAATGATTAGCATCAGTCAATATTTATTAACTGGCTAGAAACTAGTGATTAAACAGAGAGTGCATAAGTGCATCTGCTGCCCCACTGGTAACATATCATTAGGAGTGTCATATTATAGCGTCTATATTATGACACTTATGATATCATGCATATCCAGATCATAATCAAGATCTAGGTTACCTATACCATAGCCTATACACGACTGGCGCTGCAAGTTTAAACTCTGTGGAAACGATGCACATGCAAAACTACCTGCATGCAATAACGTTCAAACTCGAATGCAAATAAAGCAAGAATGATTGATGTATGAAACGCGAACTCCAACGTTCAAGCATATCAGACGATTGTGGTATCGATAAAAAAGAAGAACGTCACTGCACACTCGGCACGAGTACCGTCTTGATGCCTAAGCTACGGCCAAATTAGCATACATCTTACATCACTAGTAAAAAGCTGATTAAATTGACTACGTCACGAATTTTCTATGGTAAAATTTGTAAAATTTTTGTTGCCATTTTTTTACATTAAAAGTAAGAACTAACGGGACTAAACGTATCCTCAAATTCTTACCTGATAGGATTGTTTCTCAACTAGTTAAAAATCCAAAAAACCTGGACGATTTGATATTGTGTTCCTAACATAAATTGCTTGCTATGGGCTATGTATGAGTGACGAGTGCATGTTCACATCGAACAATATAGTAAAATTAGAAGTATAATGCAGCAATTTAACCATAAATAGTCAACAGAACTACTTATATTTTGTGAAAAGGTGAAAATATTTTTTATATTTTCACTATTTACGGGAACGTAATCACTTTAAGTCAATGAAAAGTATACGAGCTTGCTTGATCTGATCTGATTATAGTCCAGTGCTACGAGCCAATTATCACACGACAGGTGTGACATCAAAGACGGATATCGGAGGTAACAGGTGCGAGTAGCAGAAAGCAAATTCGCCTTGTCTAAGTGCCAGCATACCTATATGCAATTATTACACTGACCCACATATACGAAACGGTGTGCGCTATCGTACACATCGACAAATTAAACTCGTTAACGTATCAGATACCGACCGGCAGCTCATTGCTAGTGAAGGCAAATGGAATCACCACCCGCATGTAATCATCAGCAGGTATTGAGGACACCTCGATACACGTAACCTTTTGCGTAACTGCAGGTTTCACTTGATTACGACCCACTACCCCGGTCGACAGACGCCCCAGGCACGCACGATTCCATCCGCCTCTGATCGTAAGCGCTCAGAGTTCTACCGAGTCCTAAATGCCCACCCCCCCCCCTTCCCGCGGCGAAGCACGATTAGAGCGGCGACTGTCGTAAAACTCGAAAACTTGGTTAAGATGACGATGTGAGCGGGGGAGGAGCGGCTTGAGAGCCACGCTCTCGCACTTACTGTGCTCTGCCCGCGGGACTTCAGATTTGCCAAGCAATGGGTTTCCGTACTGCACGGTCTCGGGCATTCCCTGCAGGAGCACGCCCTTCTCCCTGCTGAACGATTCATCACTGCCAACGGCTGCGGGCACAGACAAAGAAACACCTCTGAGGGAAGTGATCCTCCCGAGAGTACGGAAAGTGAGTGGGAGAGAGAGAGAGAGAAAGAGAGAGAGAGAGAGAGAGAGAGAGAGAGAGAGAGAGAGAGAGAGAGAGAGAGAGAGAGAGAGAGAGAGAGAGAGAGAGAGAGTAGAGAGAGAGAGAGAGAGAGAGAGAGAGAGAGAGAGAGAGACAGAGAAAATAAATTCTTCAGATTTTTCATTCTCAGGAATGCTAGTGGTGTATAAATAGAAACAACCTAAACAACTCTTCCTCTAATATTAACCTATTGAAGCTCGAAATTTTCATTCATGTTGCTAGCAAATTCTACTCAGTTCTTGTAATTCACCAAATAAAATTTACAGCGGTAGTTAAGATGTCACACTTTTCTCATTTAGTTTTAGTGAAATGTTAGACAAATTTACAAGCAGATGTATTTGAGATTTAATGTCAGCGTCATAGGGGTGGTAAGAATATAATATTATAGCACGCTAAATTAATATTCTAGGTCACACGATAGCACTATATAACACCTAATAGCATTTTAATCAACATTTTTAATGGGAAAATGTGTACTATAACGTCATGTAGCTATTGACTATTTTATTATCTACAAAAATATTACCTTGGCTGTTTAATAATTTACTATTAATTATCTGAACCTTTATATAATAAACTACCTAAATAAACTGATACTGACTTCATATAAAACAAGTATTGAAATGTACCTATTTGTTACATAAACCATGATATTTATATCCCATAATTTTCCATCCACAGATCAACTATTTTAAATCAAACATATTTATACCTTGGGCTATAATAAATTCCTAACACTCAGCACGCTGCCACACTATCACACTGACAGCATGGAGCAAGACACTGCACCATGACCACCTAAAAATGTTACTCAGAGTAGAGAATATTGATAAGCAATATCACTATAGACATCAATCCTCGATCTCTGCACCAAGAAACGCAAAACCATCTTTTCAAATAGCCTGGCAACACGAGCGGACACATTTTAGTTGCTGCAGCATGGCCAATAAGCATAGCAGACACTCTATACAGTCGTATCGATTACCTTGTACGGGCGTGTGCTCGACATATTCCTTGTCTCTCTTCTCACTGACCACCTTGTCAGCCAACAGCAGAATATCCTTGATGTCCTCATCTGTCACCTCAGACTCTGCAGCACAGAGTACTCCAAGTAAACACAATAGCCACGCGATATTTACCAACTATAGAATGTAACTACACACTGCACTGCCGAAGTGCCCTGAGAGATCCTGTTAGTGTGAAAATACATGTGCACTTTATGATATATTTCCACCTATACACATCATTTGCTTTACACATGCAATTAACACACAATGGCGCTGCACGCGCGTGCAACATGGACACTGAAGGACAAATGTAGCACACACCTGGCCACCCACGTTCGTTGAGGTACTGCATCAGCACCTTCTCCAGCTGTTCCTCCTCCCCAGGACTTAGGTCGACGGCTAGAGATCCTGTCACATCTGCCTTCTTCTTCTTGTTTGTCTCTATAATAGTCACCAGAGAAGTGCTAATCAGCACCTCGTCGCTGTATGGTATAATTGCCTGCGTCTAATTTGCTGTAAACAAGACCCGAGTTCTGCTCTCGCTTCCTCTCTCCCTCGCTTCCTCTCTCCCTTTCTTACTTCCTATTTTTCTTCTTCTCTTCTCTCTCTCTCTCTCTCTCTCTCTCTCTCTCTCTCTCTCTCTCTCTCTCTCTCTCTCTCTCTCTCTCTCTCGCTCTCTCTCTCTTTATTGAACCACTGCCTATTAAACCGCATTCTCTCCCGTCTATATTTATCTTATCAGGAGTCTATCAATAGATATTGATAGACTCCTTATCTTATTTTATTAGCTTCCCAGAGATTATACACATTCTCTAGAGAAGCACGCACGCTATACAATCTCTCTCTTTGTGAAAGATGCTGTTAGTAAGCCTGGATTGAGCTGCACGCCACATTCTCTCACCTGTTCCTAACTGCTCCTCATCTTGCAGGTCAGTGAGAGCGTCATAGAAGGATGGCGGGAGATAGTCATTCATGTTTTTTCCTCCCTCGTCCTTCTCCCCCTTGGAATCATCATTGAGAATAGAAGCCATTTCAGACTCCTCAACGGGGGACTGCCCGACTAGAAGAGGTTCGTGGAAAGCAGGGCTCTCCTCACCTTCCTCTGGTCCGTCTGCAACTTGCATTGCTCCCTTGATCTCACCTGGAAATATCGGTGAAAATTACGTTAAATTTCCGCATCCATATAAAATAAAACTAATCCTCAGCATAAAATTGTAAAAGTGAAGATTTATACAAATAAATGCGTCTGTGGTGAAGCTTACACTGGCATATCAATTACTAGGTGAAACTGCTGACAAGTGGAAAATAATTAACAAAATATTGATAAATAGGGAAAACAAATTAAATAAATGAAAATTAGTTACTATAGCTATAGTAACATTAAAACAGGAAAATGTTTTCATTATTAGCTCAACATGCAAGTGTACACTATTCTCTACTAGTGAAAACAGTGTATGTGATACAGCCAAACATACACTTACACATCAATCACTGCAAGTGAGAATTGAGGAATAGCCATAAATCAGAAATAGTTAAAAATTACAGTCCGTGCACTGGGAATTGACAAAGAGCCTTGATTTTTATAGTTACTACCTTTACTACTATGTATACTAACTATTGCAACGAATATAACACAACATCATCAGATTGACATGACCAAAGCATCAGATAATTCTACTTGATTTTCTGAATAAACATTATTCGTGTACCATGCTCACTCATGCTATATACCTCATTTTCCTTCCTCCGTTCTAAATGTGGTCTCGAAACCTCTTGGTCTGTTTTTAGCTCAATTTTTAAATTTAAGATATATTTTTTTACCTTGGCCCTATATCCGAAATACAAACATCATAGAAGTGATATCCTTTCTGAGATATAAAAAGTAATAAATTACAATGACATGCATGGAACAGGCTTCATTCGATTAAAGCATGAAGATATTATTTAATAATGGAACTTTTTTGCCTATATTAGAAAGGCTCCTTCATAGTACCCGCCAGAAACAACTCCTTCTAAATAATAATAACATTGCTGAAGCATCACATTCACACCAAAATATAATATGTCATGTCTACTGTATAATACTACTGTTCCAAATTTACTACCTTTAGAAACACGGTTGCCATGTAAACTCATACGCTGTTTAGAAAAGTAATGATGTCACTTACTGCTTATAATAGGTATAAAATCAGTGCAAAAATATTATTACAAACTTCTTTTGTCAAAAACAACATTTGGGCAATTTGGTAAGAACCACTCCTCGTCATTTTTATTTCAATTATTATTCGTAAATTGTGTGAAAAATATATTATACAAAAGACTCCCCTAACAGTTACACAGAAAATACTCAACTTCAACACCACAGGGGGTTTGACAATATCACACGCCTGTTTCTCCCACCACTAATTGTGTCTCAAATGTGTAGTTTTGCCTTAAATTCAGTAGCGCAGTTCTTCGAAATGTGCCCTATAAAATCGGCCGACTGACTCACGAAAGCGGGTCTGAGCCACAACCAGAGGATCTACAGAATGACATGATGATTAAATGTGGACCTAGTCTGACTATACATGCACACCTAGTCTGAATATGTGCACGTGCAGTGCTCAACATACTTTGAGTACATATTTAAAACCAGCAGCATTCCAGCGAATCATCACTCGCACATGTAGCAGGTAATGAAGCAGGTAATAATTATCGTTACGACGCTCGATCATCTATGATCAGTACAGTGTATCGAGGAAACTGACAACTGCACCACATGCATCTGTGCCCTCAAGCAGCGACATGCAACCACATGTGAGGATTCCTAGCAGGCAAGCACAAAGCCACAATACATGCACACGCACACACGGAACTTTCCGGCTATAGTCCCCCTTCTCGACTGGATATCCGCATACCGACGTGCATACCTGCACCTGGATCACGCGGGATGCCACCATGCTCAGCATCTTCGGACTCTGCAGCTTCCTCATCCGCAGCCTCCTCCTCCAGATCCTGCTCATCAGGAGCCTTGTTGAGATGCTCGTACCAGTCGTCTGACAGCATGTCGTAAATTCCGTTCTCCGACTGCCGAATATCGTCGTCAAGGGACGCCTTCCACGGCCGGCCGGCGGCATCGTTGCTGCTTCTGGCGCCGCCGCCGCCTCCTCCCTGCCACGGCTGCAACGAGTTGTGCTCCAGCAGGTAAAGGAGACTGTCATCGTCGCCGCCACCGCCGCCGCCGTAATCGCTGTCGACCAGCGTGTTCGGAATGTCGTTGTAGGCGATGTACGAGGGCTTGACCAGGTTGTTCAGGCCAGAGTCCAGATACGCGCTGTCGTCGTCGTCGTCGTCGCTGACCCCGGCGTAGCCGCCACCGTTGTCACGATACGTGTAGTCATCGTAGTACGGGTCGCCTCCATAGTCGAATCTGCCAGCATTGCCTGCATTCTCGTGCCCAGCACTGTTGCCAGAATTCTCGTTACCGCCTCCGGCGCCTGCATTCTTGTCACCGCCACCATCGCCGCCACCATCGCCTGCATTCTTGTCACCGCCACCATCGCCGCCACCATCGCCTGCATTCTTGTCACCGCCACCATCGCCACCACCATCGCCTGCATTTTCGTCACCGCCACCAACGCCGCCACCATCGCCGTCACCATCACCTGCATTTTCTTTACCACCACCATCGCCTGCATTCTCGTAAATGCCACCATCGCCAGCACCCTCATCATAGCCGTCGACTTTCTCCGCATCCTCGTCGTCGCTGCTCATCGCTTTTTCCGAATCATCTTCATAGCCGCCAATTTTGTCGGCGGCCATTTCGTAACTCCCAGCCTTGCCAGCTGCATCATCGTAACCGCCAGCCTTGCCAGCTACATCATCGTAACCGCCAGCCTTGCCAGCTGCATCGTCGTAACCGCCAGCCTTGCCAGCTGCATCGTCGTAACCGCCAGCCTTGCCAGCTGCATCGTCGTAACCGCCAGCCTTGCCAGCTACATCG